TTATATTATATTATTATTATTATTATTATTATATCATTAGGTGACTTAAGTTTCGATATTCTCGAGACTAAAAACATGTCAAAAAATCCTAGTGAAAGCTTTTTGTAGTCGTGTATCAAATTTCAATTAAGATTCTCATGCGAAAGAGTGTAGTTTTCGTTTTATTCCCATTGCCAAATAAGTATTCAAGTGTATTAAGATACGTAAACCATATCGTTCGTTAAATCTTCATATCATTGTGATAAAATTATAAGACGAAAATAGAATGCTACTATACATACGAAATATAGGTAACATAAAATATAAATCACGTTTTACACATAATCAATATGAATTATAAATAATTTGTAGTTAGCATGTTCTTAGTGCTTTATCACACTTTTATGTAATAGGGTGTTCCACAGTCTATATTTAAAAATTCAATTAAATTTTCCATTTCATATTGTATGTGTATAGGGTAACAAAGAATATATAACGAATTATTGTAAAAATGGAGCTACTTTTTTGATATTTTAAAACAATATGATTCGGCGTCGAAGACACTACAAAAGACGATACAATTGTAATACATATAAGAAAATATTACCCCCAACATCATAAAAGATCCTCATACATTGAAATTGCAAGAAAAATAATGAAAGAGCAAGACAGAAACTTTAATATAGTACTATGTAACTTTGCATACAATACACATGATGATGAACAAATATATAAAATAAATGAAGAATTATGTAGGATTTCAAAATATAATGAAAACGTTAAATATTACAACTAGAAAATGAGTTTAGAAAAAGCAACAAAGTCAAACAACGTGAAACTATTGGCAAATGTTATTGTCAATTTTAGGGGTTCATCACTATTGACATATATTGCAACAATAGGAGAACCCGTAAATTTTCAAAAACCAAAGATGACAGACAACCAAAGATAACGATAATACATTCCAATGTACAAAGTATAAATAATAAATATCTAGCCCTAGAGCTTTTAACTAAGGAAACAAATTGCGACATTCTTTGCTTGTCTGAAACTTCGGCTAATGACTTACAAATAAATATAATGAATCTTGCAGATTATCAATTGGCAACTTTTAAAAATAGACAACACTCAGCGCATGGTGGTGTAGCTATATTTGGAAGAGATAATATGAAAATCAAAGAAAGAACGGATTTAAATAAGATGTCAGCTGAACTACATTGTGAAGTTGTGGCTATAGAAATAAAGACGAAACCATATAAAATAGTAATAATATGTTTATATAGAGCTGAGTACAATATTAAGATTTTTGAAAATACATTAACTACAATACTACACAAAGTAACTAATGAAAACAAGCAGCTGGTAGTTGCAGGTGATTTCAATATCGATATTCTCAGTAATAATTCAATTGTAAAATCGTTCCATACTATAATTAAAAACTATAATTGTAAAGGTCTCATAAACAAACCGACTAGAATCACGGAAACTAGTAAAACCTGTATTGATAATTTCATTGTGAACTCTAAATATAACTGTATCACCGGCTATGTAACTAAACATAAATTATCCGATCATAATGTCATCCAATGTAAAATAATAGTAAATAACAAATTGTTGACCAAAAATTCCTAGTCTTAGCCCAGAAATGGACTGAATCTAATAAAACGTATTTTCATTATTTGATAAATAAGGATTATAAATTTATTGAACAAATTTTAAAAACCGATGACACAAATGAAAAAATGAATATTTATTTAGAAACTATCAAATATTATCTTGACGTAGCTATTCCAGTGAGAAAAATACAAGTCTAACACTAAAACTACTAGGTGGGAGACTAAAGGTATATTAATATAAAATAACAGTCTGTCAAAAATGGAAATTCTTCAATGTACATATCCTAAGCCCAAAAAAAAAACTAGACCGAAAATGTATAAAAAGACTTAAAAAAAGTAATGATCTCGGCTAGAAAGTTTGATTATATGAAAAAAATACAAGGATCCAGTAATAAAATAAAAGAAGTTTGGAAAATGTAAACGAACAGACTAAATGAAATGTAAAAAGAGCAATAATAGATAGAATTAAAAACAAAAAGAATAATGCGGTAATAAAAAGTGAAAAAGAAATAGCAGATCATTTTAATACATTTTCACGATTGTAGCTTAAAAAGCCAGTGAAACATTATCTATAAATGTCGATAAATGTATGTCATACCTAAATAAAGTGAAAGAACCTACACAAACTATCCAATTTTACGATATTACAATGAACGAACTTACTCTGACTATAAAGAACTTAAAAAACAAACGATCTGAAGATATACATAATATGGACACCAGGGTGCTTAAATGCCTGACTTTGCTAAATGATAATTTACTAAACATGTTACTATTTATATTAAATGAATGCCTTACAGTAGGAATCTTTCCCGATGTGTTGAAAGTAGGTCGTATAATACCATTACATAAGAAAGACGAGAAAGACGACGTAAATAATTACAGATCGGTATGCGTACTGCTTATTGTATCAAAAATTTTTGAATCGATATTTAAAAGAAAAATAACAACATTTTCAGAGGTTAATAAATTGCTCGTAGACTGCTAATATGGCTTTAGAACAGGAAGGTCCACAGAAATTGCTATCAGAAAAGTCGTATATTTCATACTGGAATCTCTAGATAGAGCCCAAAAGTGCAGTAGTATTTTTTGTGATTTTTCGAAAGCTTTCGACTGCCTACGACATGACATTCTTATAAAAAAACTAGAATACTACGGCTTTAAGAATAAGGAACTAAGTTTAATGAAGTCCTATCTTTCGAATAGAACTCAGTCTGTAATGGTGGAAGGCATATTTTCTGATGTTAGAAAAATTAACATCGGAGTTCCGCAAGGATCAATATTAGGACCTTTGTTATTCGTCATCTATATTAACGACTTGCCAAACGCATTACCATCATGGTCAAATGTAAATATATTCGCAGATGATACTCATGTAGGATCATGTATTAGCAGCCACAAATAAAATTCAAATGCTCGAAAAACAAACTTTTGTTATGGATAGTCTTAATAAATGGTTTACCACAAACGGAATAGTCCTTAATAAGAAAAAAAAAACGTTACCATAAGGTACAAAACAAAGTACTACATTTTTAGGATATGTTATTCAGGACACATTGACTCATTCTCTTCATATTGACAAGATGTGTAAACAACTCTCAGCGGCAAAAAGCGGCCCTACTTAAACTTGAACCACTAATGTGGTTATTATAATTGTATTAAAATATTATATATTTAAAGTAAAAAAAAAGTATTTTAAGTGTATACTATACTTTTATCCAATCAATTATTAATAATACTCTAACTGTCTGGGGAAATTCTTTTGATATTGATAGAGTGTTGGTCTTGCAAAAGTGAGCAATACGAATTATCACAGGTATTTCACAAACGTGTATCTGCTAGAGAGTACTTTGTTAAATATAGAATAATGACTGTAATTTCATTGTATGCATACAGATCATTACTAGAGATACATGAAACAAAAAATTATATGACGAAGATATCAGATGTACATACATATAACACGAGAAGTAAACATAAACTAGTAACAAATAAAATCAGATTAGTAAAAACGTTGAAACAGGGCGTAAATATGAACATTAATATGTACAATAAACTACCAGTTAATGTATCTGACTTGGAAATGGCTATATTCAAGCAAACATTAAAATTTTATTTTGAAAATCACGCTTTTTACAAAATCTACGAATTTATGGATTCAAATCTATGTGAATATTCATTTTCTTAAAAAATCATAACGTTAAGACTTTACTAGTATGTATACCTGTATAATTTAAGTCTGTATTCTCTGTAATTTGACTTGCCTATAGGCAATGTACTGTGTTGTCTTAGTGAATAAATCATTTGACTTTGACTTTGACTTATTTCACGTATCAGTTGCACACTAACTGCGTAACAAAGGCTTACCTTGGAATGCTAGAGAGTATGTTGAAAAAATATGATGAAGTTGTATGTACTTTGTGTGGGATTATAAGTACTTTTAATTAGATTACTCTTATTATTTTGGTAATGAAAAATACATGAAATAAAACAAAATGTATACGAAAATCAAGTTTATTAATATCGGTGGCCCAACGGTTTATACCGTGGGTGAGGAGGTACCGGCTTCGATTCCCGGTAGGACCAAATTGGGAAGTAAACTTTTCTAAATTGGTCGATCTGGGTGTTCTGGGAAGTGCCCCAGAGTGAATTCCGTTGCTGTGGTACTCATAATACAGGAAATTCCCTAGTTTGACATCAGGCAATTGGTGTGGTTGTCTGGCATATTATATGTGAGAAGACAACCGTAAATGGGAAAAGAAAGCCCGGTAGGTACCAGTGATTTGCTAATTATATTTAGTAATTAGCAAAAAGTACAAAAGTTTGTTAGTGAAAAGTACAAATGGTCGGCTTAAAGGTAAAGCCACATTAGTGACCTCTTCCCCAAAAAATCTCCAAATTACGTACCATTTGTACGAAATTCACCATCTTACTGCAGGTAAAACTTATTAAGTTTATAGCTTTTTTGTTATTGAGTTTCACCTGCAAAAAGATACTGATTTTGTCACTTATGTGGTTTTACCTTTAAACAGACGAAATAATGGTCTATACAGCTGTACTGTGTTGGAAAAGGAAAAAGAAATCAAAGTTACGCGGTTAGTCGGTTGATTCTGATTTGGGACAAGCAGTAGAATTGTGTGAAGTTCAAAAGTTTGGAAGGTTTGATTTTATTTTTAGAAAACTTTTTTATTCACGTGTTGATTACTTTACAAAATTTTTAAGACGATAAGGTAATTTCTTGTGACACGCCTGATGTGATGGAATGTTATTTATCCCTTTTGAAACACCCTTTACATCACATTACGATTACGATTGGATATATCTGTAAGAGATTTAGATTATCTTTTGATATAAAAGAGCACCGTGATGGGTGGCCGTAATTATTTATTTTAATAGATTGCTTGCTCAACGGACACCAGGTAAGTCTGTGATATTAAGATAATATTGTATAAGATTTTATCATATTAAGAAAAACAAATTAATTCCGTATCTAGGGAGAGTTTTGTAATATTATCTACGGGGACAAAAATCAACCAGTGTTGGAGATATTCAGCTGATTTAATTCAATTATATTGGGCGAAGAAAAAAAAGTATCGAGACAGGAAGTACTAATAGTAATTGGATATTTTAATAAAAAAGAAAACTTACAAGCAATTAATACCTACAAGTTTAATTTTCACCATGACTGGAGCTGCTAGTCGTACATTGTAAAATTTAACAACTATGGTGTTATGCCTATTTCGGAACAGAAGTTATCTTAGAATGAATTGTGATTCCAAATTATCAGGATGTTTCGGTTCATCCTCCTTCTCACGGCGGTGGCCGCGGCCGTAGCATATCACACTCCCAACTACGTCGCTGGTCGTTCCACCATGGTTCATCTTTTTGAGTGGAAGTGGGACGACATCGCAGATGAGTGTGAACGTTTCTTGGGTCCTCATGGATTTGGTGGTGTCCAGGTAATTTATTAAGATATCTAGTCACAGTTAGATTTAAGATATTCTTCAAGAAACCTAGGTCATATGTCTGATTAAACTAATGCGTGTGAAAAGACTGAAGCGCGTTTTTTTTAATATATAATAGACACACGCTTGGCCACTATCTCACCTGATGTTAAGCGACGATGTGACCGACGATGGGACGCCTAAAAGATGCCTATTCGCTCTAACCTTGAATAGCCCCAAATTGCACTTTTCGGGAAATACAGGTTACCGGTAGAGCATTCCATTCCTTTGCGGTACGCATCAGAAAGGAGGAAGCAAAGCGCTTAGTGCGAATAGATGGAATATCAACGACATAAGAATGGAGTGCTCCGGATCTTCCAGTCGACCGAAGGAGGAACGGTGAGGGTGGAACTAAATTGAAAAGTTCATGCGCGTGTGCGTACCCGAAATGTATGCGATAGAAAACCAACACGCAGGCTACTTTTCTGCGATGGTCGAGATTTTGTAGCTTTGACTCCACCGAGTCCAAGGCAGCTAACTGGTAATGGGGCAGAGTCGTCCCAAAGGTGGCAGCAGTACTCCATACACGATCGAACTTGTGCTATATACAATGTGGATGAAACGAAGAGGTTTGTTAGGGTCGAGTGTTATCTCTATCTATCTATCACATTGAGAGGCAGGCATATTTATTGTAACAATATACTTTATATACAATTACAATGTAGTTACAATTACAATAGATAATATAAGGAGTGATCTTACAGTAAAGGTTGTGAAGGTTACAGAATGATATTTTAAAGGAATTTTTGTACAATAACATGTAATAAGATGTATTTAGATCACACGATGATTCATTAGTTTTCTAAAATGGAACACTTATTGCCCTCTAACTACCACCCGCCAAAGTTTTTGATTATGATCTAGTTCTATACGTACCACAAGAAAGAGCAAACGCTTCATAACTCGCAACGACAAGATGGCGTAATTTAAATCAAAGAAAGAAGCTTTATCTCCGCAAATATTACGTTAAAAAATACTACATAATAACAATAACAAACAAAACTTAGACTTATAAGTGGTTATCATATACGAAGGACGTATCCTGGTGTAGTAGTAATATTAAAAAAAAAACAAGGAAATATTACGCTAATATAATGTTCATGTTACATATTTGCATTTCGATTGTATTTGTTTATCTTCAAAAGTAGCAAAACATTAATACATAATGAGTTGCGTGTCAGTATAGGTATAGATAAAAGGGATACTGGTATAACACTGATTTATTATTGTAATTAGGTGGTTGATAAAAAGAGACAACATACAGTTGCTGTCCAAATTATCCGACTGATCAAATCAATTTCTGAAGTAAATATGCACTATATTGAAAAAAGAATTAAAACGAATATTTAATCTGGCAGACATCTCCGGCCGGTGAAAACCTTATAGTTAGGGCTTACAATCGCCCATGGTGGGAGCGATACCAGCCCATATCATACCGACTGGTTACCCGCTCAGGTAATGAGCAACAGTTCGCCAACATGGTTCGACGCTGCAACAACGTCGGTGTCAGGTATGGCTGTATATAATTCAAATTTTGTGTTATGAGATAACACAAAATTTGAATTATAACACGATTTGCATTAGATAGGAAGTACATGAACTAAATAAAATTCTACAGGATCTACGTTGATGCAATCATCAATCATATGACAGGAACGTGGAACGATAATGTCGGTACTGATGGTAGCACTGCTGACTTCGACAACTGGAACTATCCTGATGTGCCTTACACTCGTATGGATTTCAACTATCCCCAATGTAATATTTATGGGCACGATTATGGCTGCTGTCCAGATAGGGTAAGTCACGGATCTCTTATTCATTTTCTATGTTAGCTCTAGGTTTTTTGTACTTTTTCTTCTAAGAATTAGGTCTTCAAACACACCTATTGCTTAAAAATGTAAACGATTTAAAAATTAAAACGGGATTTTTGAAACTAATACGAAATTGAGTTTACTTCCAAATCCGAGAGTAAAACCTAAATGCTCTGGCCACACGGAGGCGCCTACAGAAGCATTCCGGAATGGGGAATTTTCGCAATGTACGAGTTTATATGAATCCTAGCACACTTGAAATCGTAGATTACAAAAATTCCCGCACCCGGAACGCTTCCGCCGCCGTCTCTGAATGGCCTTAGCATAAAGAAAAGACCACCTTTATAAATATTAAACTACATAGTTCACATTTTATATGTTAACATATGGGTATAGACTAAATCGTTGTTAATACTATATTGATGGTGTATCTCATTAGTCGAGTTATAAAAATTTGTCAGAAACCTAAAAAATGCTCAGTGATAACTAAATTAAACGTTTAATAACTATGTTAAGAATTTTAATTTTTGAGTTTACGTGACGTCTCATAAATCGATATTCGATTTCATTTACTTTTCGAGGTACACAAATGCTAACTAAACAAGTCTGTCACTAATTCCGTTTTTTAAGACTCGTCCCTTATAGTCTTCGAATTTCAATTGAAGAATTCGGTTAAAAAAATCGGTCAGAAACCTTAGGAATGAACAAATTGCGTGTCTATTAACTACGTTAAGAATTTTTTAATTTACGTAAAATTTCATAAATCGTTATGCGATTTTTACTTCTAGGTACGAAACTGCGAGCTTGGAGGTCTGAAAGATTTAAATCAAACTACTGAATATGTACGTGAGCAACTTGTAGGATTTCTGAACAGCATGATCGACTTAGGTGTCGCTGGTTTCAGGTACTTTTGTTTCACTTTCATTATATTTAATGTGTTTTGTTGTAACAATTCTATGATTGAATGATCATGAATTAGCTGCGTACATGATATTATGATGCAACTAACTTTTGTCCTCTTTTATAGAATTGACGCCGCAAAACATATGTGGCCCAGCGACCTTCGAGTTATCTTCGACAGACTACACAACCTTAATACCGACCATGGCTTCCCAGCTGGCGCTCGTCCTTACATTTACCAAGAAGTCATTGATTTCGGACATGAAGCTGTTTCTCGGAATGAATACACTCCTCTTGGTGATGTTCAAGAGTTCAAATTTGGTCTGGAACTCAGCAGAGCCTTCCTAGGTGGAAACCAATTGAAATGGTTGGTCAGCTGGGGGCCTGAATGGGATTTTTTGGATTCCGATGTTTCTATGGTTTTTGTTGACAACCATGACAACCAGAGAGGACATGGTTCTGCTGGTGACATTCTCACCTACAAACGGGCAAAGCAATACAAGGCGGCTATTGCATTCATGTTGGCTCATCCTTACGGTGAACCCCAGATGATAAGCAGTTTTGATTTCACTGACTCTGAAGCTGGACCTCCGCAAGACAGCAACGAGAACATCATTTCACCTTCAATTAACTCTGTAAGTAAAAGAAAAGCTTTTCTCTTGGATATCAAGATGTCGTTCACAATGTTCATTTTATCAAGCGTGTAAATATTAAGTTTACACTGAATGAAAGTGTTGTTAACGAATTTACTACACGTCACAAAAAAAACTGTAAAAGTATTTTTTTATTCTTTTGTAGTAAATTTTGCATTGCATTTAAATTGTGATATCCTATGGTCTTTCAATACATTGTTTTTAAAAACTTAAATTGTAAAAAATAATAAAATATGAACTGCATTAGTTGAAGATTAATGTAAGTTTTATATCGCAACCAGGATAACACCTGTGGGAACGGCTGGGTATGCGAGCACCGCTGGCGGCAGATCTACCAGATGGTAGCGTTCAGAAACGTTGCCGCTGGTCATAGCCTTAACAACTGGTGGGATAACGACAGCAATCAAATCGCCTTTTGCCGAGGCAATGCTGCTTTCATCGCTTTCAATAATGATCAATGGGCTTTAAACCAGAGTCTCCAGGTACGTTGTACACGATAATGGATTTGTCAAGTATTATAAGAATGTTAAATATTTCTCCACTCGGTTAACCCAAAGTTAAAAGCTCTGAGAGGAAGTAATCTGCCCTTTACCAAATAATTATTATTTCTTAATATTAAGAAATAATAATTATTATTTCTTAATGTTAAGTAGCTGGAGTTACGTGTATGTATCATTGCGTCTGTATTGATTTATTTTTATTGTATCGTATATTATTCTTCTTCTTCTTTATTCTATGCATTTTCTTTCAGACCTGTCTTCCAACTGGTACATACTGTGATATAATTTCGGGCTGGAAGAGCGGAAATTCTTGCACAGGGAAGACCGTTACAGTGGGCAATGACGGCCAAGCTCAAATCTCAATTAGTCCTATTGAGTTCGACATGATACTCGCTATTCATGTAGGCGAACAGGTAAGTGTGAGCACGTCTATAGGGATAAAAAATAAGTTAAAGAAATCAAAAGCTGTTTAAAAAGTTTATAGTTAAATATCAGCTTTACAAGAAAGATTAGTGTGTGTGTAGCACTAATACTTACTGATTCTAATTATTTAAATTGGAAATATTTATTTCCTGAATTGGCTGGTGTACCCGGCGTTTTGGTCTTTGAACAATAATTAAGTAATGTTATTTTTCATTTCAGTCTCGGCTTTGAAAGAAGACGCTTTATCTGAGAGAGATGAAGACTGGTGTTCGTTGCAAATGACAAAATAACTGTTAATAAACCTTTGCTGCAAAACAATTTCGCTTTGTTTTTTTAGGTAAAAACCAATGTAATTTTTTTAATGATTAGTAAAACCTATTAGGCACTCTATTACACCAACAAGAAATTAATTTTAATTTTGAGTTTATGCACAAGCTTAAAAACTAAATTGTGAGGATGTAGTACCCATGCTCCTGTACCAATTAATGCTTTTGGTATTTATTATATATTTGGTGTATAATGTAGGTAGGTATACGATTTGTAACCAGTGCTAGTTAAATAGCTAAATAGGCTTTAGTGACGAAAATTCCAGAAGATACCTTTACAACTTTGGTGGCATCACGCGTCTTTTCCAATGGGGTAGACAGTGATTGCGGATTTCCACTCGCTGTTTCTAAAGCATCTTATCCGCTTCGTTACACATCATTCTTTAGTCTTCGTACTTTTGGTCTGGCTTTTTTGAAGATATCCTCGATCTGGTAGAGTATGCCAACTTATTACTTGATCCCAAAGTAAAGAATTCTCTTTACTATGAAATACGAATTGACGAATCGACGACAATCTAGAATACGATATATGTATAGATAAAATTTTTAGAAATTTAGTTTTTCAGTTTATTGAATGTCAGTCAGGATGTTTTACCGCTTTGATATTCAGTTATTTTTTGTGCAATTACTCCATTAGTTTGTTATAATTATTTATTCAAAGATCGAACACTTAGAAAAAAATCTTTCGATTCGGCTGGATTCGAACCAGCGTCTTCTAGCAAACCGTGCTAGACGCTAAGCCAGCTAAGCTATGGAAAGAACGAACCAGCGGACCTTACGAGTTTTTATATGTTTGTTGCAGATCTTAGTTTTGGGTAATTAATAGATTCAGGCGTTACTTTGCGGAAGTCCATATTAATAAAAATGGAAGTAAATTAATTTGCTACTCCGTGAACCCAGATAGGTTAAATCGTGCAAAATAGCTGCGCTTGTGTTGAATTTTTTTTTCATGCAGTTAATTATCCCGACCTCCCTCCGCATAAAATTAATTAAATAAATAACACAAGCGCAACTATAGTCACAAACCATCTCCAAAAATATACCCGACACGTGTTTCGTCTCTTCGGCCGAGCGTCAAGCAGTCAACAGCCCCTGAGGATGCCTCGTGGAAAAAAAAAAGAAATATTCAACACAAGCACAGCTATTTTGCACGATATAACTTTCACTGGGTTCGCGGAGTAGCAAATGAATTTACTTCCATTTTTCTTAGTTTTGGTTTTTAACGACTTTTTGTCGTAGCAATTTAGTTTTTGTTTATACTGGGAATCTAACCCGCAGTAACTACAAGTACACTTGAGTGTTATAACCGCCTTCAAAAGCATGAATATTGAAATATTTAATAGAAATTTATTATGTTTCCAGCATATAATTACGAATTAAGAAATATAATAATTCAGAAATGTTAATTGTCACAGATTAAGTTATGTTGAAATAAATCAACTTTGAAGTTTATTTTTATTCGTGATTAATGCGGGTAAAACGACAAAGTACCTACCTGTTTTCAGTTTTTTAGATTACCTTTGTAATACAAAGGTAAATTAGAAACGTACTGGCTTGTATGCTACGGTATTATAATATCATACCACAATTATTTCATACCAATCCCACGGTCTAATACACCCACAATCGTCATATGGACAGCGGTTAACAAACGTCGCGGGATATTGAGGGAGTCGAGTGAATGTTTAACTTATCTAATAAAATATGTTTTAGATTGCTGGAGATGTTTTGTTATTGTCTAGAGTTTGGTTTTTGGTCAATTGGCGAATATTAAGTACGTAAGTAAGTAGTAAGTACGTAGTAATTTGGGTACGCCTAACATTTTCTTCTATTCATCGCCGTTTTCTTCGTCACATATAAGGAATATAAGGACAAATTTTTCTCAAGACCGACTCCTTAAAATCTTATTCGAATAATACCTATTCGTCGTATTCCATATTGCAGGAAATTTGTCAACTTCCTCTAGGAATAAATCTGTATTAAAGTTTTCTGTATCTATTGCTACTAAAATATTTTTTAATACATCTGTCATAAAGACTTGAAAAAGTCATTTTAACACGTGCTTATGTGAATAAGTACTGCAAAACCTATGATCTCAAAGCGCACGTCAACGCGCTCTGACAAGTTCCCAGAGTTAGTGCAGCGTCAAACGACTGTTTACAAAAAACGGGCATCGCCATGTGAAAACCTACGGCTATATACGTAAAATAGCGTTAGGTAAAGGCCCGTACTAAGTTCGTCATGTGAACGTACTTCAACTTGCTAAACATATTTCTACAAGTTACAATAGGGTTCAACATGGGTTCAAGCATCATTTTGTGGAAATCGACAGTGCCGTAATTATTATTTTATTACCAGTTTACTGACCTGAAGAATCATAATGAGGATCTGACAATCTAGGTAACCCAATCGGTCTTGCAGCGCCGGCAGCCCAAACAGACCTGAAGGACCACAAGGAAGTAATCCAGCTTGAAGTGAACTTTTACGCCAGGACTGGATTTTCTAATTAGTCGTAAAGAACGGGCTAGTGAAGGGAATTGTATAAGTGACAGACAATTCATAGTTAGATAGGTCAGTAGATAGGTTATC